GGCTAGACCAGAGGATGTACACTGGTACAGATAGGAACTGGAAACAGGGAATCCAGGACAGATGATCCCTTCAGCACCAGTGGTGAGAGTGGCAATACCGGGAGGGTGGAGGGAAGGTGGGATAGAAAGGGGGAACTGATCGCAAGGATCTACATATAACCCCCTCCTGGGGGACGGACAATAGAAAAGTAGGTGAAGGGAGACATCCAACAGTATAAGACAAGACAAAATAGTAATAATAATTTATAAATTATTATTTATAAATAAATAATAGGGAGTGGGGGTGGGGAGAGAGGGGCAAAATGAGCTGATAACAAGGGCTCAAGTAGAAACCAGATGTATTAAGAATGATGATGGCAGCAAATGTGCTTGACACAATGGATGTATGCATGGATTGTGATAAGAGTTGTTTGAGCCCCCAATAAAATAACTTAAAAAAAACAATAACTCACTGCCGTTGAGTCAATTCTGACTCATAGTGACCCTATAGGACAGGACAGAACTGTCCTTGTGAGTTTCTGGGACAGTATTTCTTTATGGGAGTAGAAAGCCTCATCTTTTTCCCATGGAGCACCTGGTGGTTTTGAACTACTGACCTTGTGGTTAGCATCCCACTGCATAACTACTGTACCACCAAGGCTCCAGGTACTATGCAAAAAATTAGGAGGTAAGTTGAAGGACTAAACTTGTTATTGGGGCAGTTAAACGGGGATGCAAACCTGACCCGACACCTGCAAACAAAGGAACCAAATCCTATGAGGTTTCCTATGTACATAAGCAGTCTCAGCAGATAGTCTTTGTTGTTGTGATAAGTATGTCACACAACTTTTGCTAATTCATCTTTCAATAGATGTAAAATTTATTGGACAGTAATTGCAGTAATTGTGCAATTCTACCCTTAATTAAAACAATTTTTTGATCATTGTTTTAATCCCTTTTTTTTCTCTTCCATTTTCATCCTTGATAGCCATTAATAAATACTGATCTGTATACATTTCCCAGTTCTTGTCTTTTTGTAGAAGGGAGGTCATGTAATATAAAGGGCTTCAAAAAGTTTGTGTAAAAATGGGATTAAAAGATAATGGAATTTTTCCATAAACTTTTTGAATCACTTTTGTGTTTGTCCTTTTGTGATTAATTTACTTCATTCGGCATTCTTTTTAGATCTATCTATGAGCCGGAAACAACTCATCAGTGAGTTTGGGTTTTTGATTTTATATTATAGCATACATCAAGACTTCATTTCTCCTACTGGCTGAATCGTATTCCATGCGTATATACACCACATTTTGTTTATCTGCTCATCTGTTGATGGGCATTTAGGTTGTGTTCAACTTTTGGCTATTGTAATAGGGCTGCAATGAACATTGATCTACAAATGTCTGGTTGAGTCTCTGATTTCAATTTTTTTTCTTTTAACAGTTTTATTAGCACTTCATCCACATATCATACAATTCAGTAGTTCAATCATATCAGTAAGAGTTGTGCAATCAATACCATAATTTTGGAACATTTTTTTTCTTTGTACTCATTGTTATCAGTGTAATTATTATTATTTAATTGTGGCAAAATATATGCAATTAATGATTTCAAGTCTTTGGAGTCTATATGTTGGAGTGGAATTGCTGGGTCATATGGTAGTTCTATTTTTAGGTTCTTTTTTTTAAATTGTCATTTTATTGGGGGCTCTTACAGCTCTTATAATAATCCATACATCAGTTGTATCAAGCACATTTGTACATATGCTGCCATCGTCATTTTCAAAGCATTTTCTTTCTACTTGAGCCCTTGGTATCAGTTCCTCGTTTTTGTTTTTTTTTTGATGAAAAATGTTTTTAAGTTTCTTGAGGAACCCCACACTATTTTACATGGTGCCTATATGTTTTGCATTCCCATCAGCAATGGATAAGGGTTCTAGTTTATCCACATCCACAATGGCATTTGTTACTTATTTTGTTTATTCATTTTAGTTTAGTCATTCTAAACCAAAAACTAAATGTATTGCTGTGAAGTTGATCCTGATTCTTAGCAACCCTGGAGGACAGAGTAGAACTCCCCCGTAGACTTTCTAAGGCTGTCGTTTTGATGGAAGCAGATTGTCACATTTTGTGCTAGGGTGGTGCTTGTTGATTCAGTCTACCAATCTCATGGCTAACTGAGTTTTTAACTACTGAGCCATCAGGACTCCTTTTAGTCATCTTGACCCCAAAACTAAACAAAAACTAAACCCATTGTTATCAAGTCA